AAAAACAGTTTGACCGGAAGACGTCTAATTCATGGACGACTTGGAAGCCACAGATATGTCATTCCTGCCCTCAGAATTCAGAGGAGACAGAGAGAGAACACTGAGGGCTGTTGAGGGGAGGAAGGAGAACTTGGCCATCTGTGTCATAATGACATCCACCACATTGCTCCCAGAAAATGTCTTTCCAGGAAGAACACCGGGAGAAGGGAGGTTCAGAGTGGAAAGACATCGGGATGTGTGTAAGTAAGCAGCAGTGCGTTCCAGGACTGCACAGAGCAGCAGCCAATGCTGCGAGTGCTAGTTGTTCCCAGGAGGCCAGTCTTCAACGTCTCAGCCCCTGTCCGTGGTGGAGAGAGCACATAGCCTCTGCAGCCACCTTCACCATTTGACACCACAGAAAGCTGGGGGGCGCGTCCAGTTTCCAGACCTATGTGTCCTAAATATTTCCAACAGAGCGTTGCATTCAACAGAACTCAACGATGACACACAAAATGAATTGAAAAGCTGTAGACACCTTAAGTGGACTCCCTGAAAATGATGAGCTCTTTGAGCCAATTCCCCATCCTCAGATACCTCAGTCCGCACAGGCTCAAAGTAGCTCCTCTCCTGCCTCACATACATGACCTTGCCCCAGAACTCTCATTTGGGTTCTTATTCTCTATTTCCTCACCCTCCCTCCCTCAGCTGATTAAGACAAGGCTGAAAATTGCCTCTCTGGGCTTCACTTAATTTTCTCCTCCAATAATTATCACACTAGGATTGTGTGCACACGGGGTTATGTGTGGACCATCTTGCGGAATTTTCCTTTATCCCGTCATAGTGGGTTTGGATGCCAGATGCATGTCTATGATGGACTGAATCCAATACTTCCCTAGGCCTCACTTTACTCATGTGTATAGTGGGCAGAATAATACCTGCAACCTGGGGTTGACGGGGAGGGGTCTTCAATGAGACAATGTAAATAAATAGTAAGTAGGATGTAACACATAGTAAATGTTGGATGAATGTTAGCTCTTGCTTTTATTATTATTCTCCACTTCCTGACAGAGAAGCAAGACCCTCCACTTATTACCTCCAACCTGACGACATGGGTTCCACACCTTTAGTAAGAACAAGGTGTGAGGGGCAGGGCGCATCTTGGGGCCAGGACAAGGAAGAGTTGCGTAGACCAAAGCATCCGAGGGGTGTTCACAGGCGGAAATGGTATTTTGTCCAGGGCCTATTCGCCACATTGTGTGGTTGCCCTTTGCTTCCACAAACTTCCCTTTGTAACACCTGCCCATGATGATTCCTGCTGTTGAGGCAGTCCTGGGCAGCTCTGGCCCACAGTGACATTTGCCTATCAAGGTACACTGCCAGCCATGTCTTTTGGAGGCAGACCCTACTCCCAGGAGGAGGCTGATAAGCTGAGGAAGCATGGGAAGGGCATGGTGTGTGCCAAGCGCTCACACGCACAGATACCACCATATGGAAGCAGGTCTTGCTCTTCCTATGAGAGGTAGTGGCAAGGGGAAGAGAAGCTCCTTACGTGTTCAGTGTAACAACACCTTGCACATGGTGGAGGTGAGATTCAAATCCTGGTCCTTATCTTTGCAACATGGCAAGTGCTCTGACCATGCTAGTGGCTAGAAGAAGCATAAAGCGTGGATCCCGTCTTTCCAGAACTTAAAACTCACTGACCCGTTGGGAAGGCAAAGACAGTACCTTCAAACAGTCACACATTCACACGTGCTTATACAGGGGTACACGTTCATATCAAAGACACACACGGGGTTATTATTCAGAGTAAATACTCCTCGTGTGAAGACTTCCACTGACCATGGAGAACAGAAGATGGAGCAGCGTCCCAGAGGCCCCCGCTGGGCAGGCGTCGTCCTCCCAGCTTCTCCAAACAAAGAAATTCCCTAGAAGGTAGTATAGTGCAAGAAGAAGAACACACACACATATCCGGGAGCCTGGCAGGGCTGGGTTTAATCCTCTCTTCCCTACTTTTTACTTAAGTAACCTTAGCGAATAGAAACTTTCGAAGCTGTCAAATGAAAATAGCTCTGACTTCAAGGCCTGAATTAGAAACTCGAGCAGAGATTGTGACAGTCAGGGGAGGACTGCCCCTCCCTCATCCTCCCGGGACAAGACCCCTTGAACAGGGAGGGCGTCTCTCAGCTGCCCAGATGATGGCACACACCCTGCCGTGCCCCAGGGGATGCCCAGCTGGCGATGGATTTCAGCAGAGAGCCTCTAGCTCCAGCCACCAGGAGTCCTTTGTCCGGAACCCTGTCTGTTGATGCGGCCGGCCCCAGAGGTTCAGCTCGGCCTTCCCCTGCATATGTGTGCACGGGCCCCGGCCTGGTGTTCATTCACAGATGCCTGGCACAGTAGATACAGTGGGCTGAGCCTGTGGCCAGGTTCTGCTGTGACCTCCTAGGTCCCAATTGTCCCTTCTGCCGTGTGTGTGTGTGTTTGTGTGTGTGTGTGTATGTGTGTGTGTGTGTGTTTCTGTGTCTGTGTGTGTCTGTGTGTTTGTATATGAGAGGCAGAGGTTTGGAGGAAGACAAAGAGTGATGCCAATGAACGTCAGGGAACAATACCATCCCAAGGATAAGCGTTTATTTGTACCTCTGGCTCCTAGAGGACATGTTCCTATGTTCTCTGTTGGTAGATGCAATACTACATAATGCATGCTTGAGATAGCAGATTCCACACCCAACAAAATCTGTTCAGGGTAGTGAGGGCTTAGGCCAGAAAAGATGGACTGGATGTAACGCCCAAACTCATGGATCTTCAGACGTTCACATTTTCTCTAGTAACGCAGGCATTGCTACGGCCACAGGTGGGTTTGAGTTCTTCAGCTCATCCAAGGCAAACCATTGAAAAGTATCTACAGAGTTGGAAGCAGTAGGCGGAGAAGAGGATGTGAAACGGTTTAGGGACCAGGGAGGCTCTGGCCCTCGTTGCTGGCCACCGTCCCCAGGGCCTGGTGTGTTGTGTGAGCTCACTACGTCTTGATGAATTATTAGTTATCCCAGAACACATGCCCCACGTGGCCTTTCCTCTCTGCTACTAGGGACCTGAGCTGAAATCTCTCTCCAAGCCTATCAGGGTTGCTTCTGTCAGAGTGACAACAGGCAGAAGGGGTTCTTCTCCCGGGAAGGCCTGGGATCCTCTGCGTTTCCTTCGGGGCCGAGCCCATGCATATCCTGCCCTTACGGTGAGTCCCAGAGGAGGCACCATCGATATCCAAGGCTGTCTTCTCATGCTGCAGTGTGAATTCCCAAGATGTAGGGTTACCGTAGTGCTTGCAGCTGAGCTGTGGCTAAGTTCCAGGTCTGAGAATGAAACGTGCCGGCCTCAGGACTGGCTTGCCCATTTCCATTTCTGTCAGTCAAGGTCTTAGGACACTGACGGCAAGTACCGCTACTTGCCTTCAAATGTGGCAACGACCTCCTCCCTACTTCTAAGAGTGGGCTTTGCCCCAGCTTTCAGAGCCCGACTCCACGGAGCACCCAACCATCGTTGAGCCCTTATTCTGTGCCCAACAGTGTACACACGCTTACGCATGTTGTCCAAAATAAGCCTTTCAGCTGACATGCAGTGTGTGGTTATCCTGTGTAGCAGATGAGGAAACTGGTGCTCACAGATGTATAGTGCCCAAAGTCACCCAGCTGGTGAAGATCAGAGCCCCAGTCGGAACACTAATTGGGGAATTATTTAATGTATGTTTCATCCTTTGATGGATGTTGTTTCAACATTTTCATCCTGGTCCCTGCCCTGTGGCATCCTTCTTTGTTCTGGAATCTCTAAGTGGAACGGGAAGGACGCATCAGCCCTTAAGCACTGGGATTTCAGATTCCAGGAGCCAGAACGGGTGACTCGTCCAGCAGCCCATGCCAGGTCAAAGTTTCTTAGCTCCCCAGCCTCTGCAACTTATGATAATCATTTCCCTGAGAAGCCTGCAGTCTGCGTGACTTATACACCTGTAAGTGAGATACGTACTCTCAACAGTAACCGCCCAGTTTCTGTGAATGAAGACTAATGTTTTGCTGACCAAGAGGCAGCACAGAGAGCTGCAGGCCCCATTTGTTGTTTATATTACAGCAGGTGAAAAATCAAAGTGATTTGCCCAGGTTTGTTTCCAGATCAGGCTAAATGTGGCTCTGAGTCTAGGTTAAGTCATGGTCCCAACTTTGCTGAGTTTACTGTGTCTCCCCAAGAGCCACTCACCCCTCAGTAGTTGTTTCTCTTACAACAAGGATCGCTGTGCACGCTGATCACCCACACCTTCCCGCACCAACCGGAATATCCTGGAACACTACCCTCACCGCTCCCACACCCAGCAGTGTCCTGCATGCTTGCTTAGCACCATCCCAGAAGTCAAGCTTCTAGGGGAAAACATCACGAGTGGGTTTGGAAACACGAGGAAGCCACGGCTCGTAAAGTGATGGGGAAATGGGGCCAGGGCTCGCGGGAAGGCACTGTCATCCTCAAGCACCGTCAAACCGAGAGTGAGTTTACCAGCCCAGGAGATGAGTAAAACCTCAAGTTTGAGGAAGGGCAGATACATCCTATTGTGACTGGGGCCTAGCACACCCCAATCGTAGGCCACCTCATGGCTTGCAAGAGGGATTTGAGACGTATAAAAGGTGTGCAGTGTTAGAGCATCTCAAAAGCCTCAGCATCTCCACGTTCCAGCCACTGGTGAAATCAGGTATGTCGGGCAAAGGAACGCAGCTCTTGGGAGCTTGGTTCTACCTGGTCCAAAACTCTGAGGGCAGCTGGGGCTTGCGCACTGGCTGGCTGGTCAGAAAGAAAGGCCTTGTGTGGGCACCTCTGTCGTCCGTATCATTTGGGACCCACCTCTCTTGGGCTACAAGTCAACATCTGAAGTGTGTGGGGTGGGGGCTGAGATGGGGGTCCAGGGTGTGACCAGAGTCCTGTGTTGAGGGTCCTGCTGGCGTGTGTGGTGGCGCTGTTGTCGTGGCCAGGAGCTGAGCGGAGCTGATTAGGAGAGGGTAGCACCAACTCTAGGGCAGGGCTGCCCTGAAGGGCAAAGCCAGTGCAGCGAGGGAGGAGAGCTCCTCAGGGAGCAGGGGGTAGAGGCCCAGGGAGCTCAGAGCAGCAAGGACATGAGGAGGTGGTAAAGCGGCCATGTCCTGCTCTGGGAGTCGGGGACCATTGTTCCACCCCCGTGTGCTCAGTGCCTGGGGATCCATGACTTCCCTCTCTAAGATGTGCATTCTCCCCTAGAATTTAGTATCGATCTAAACGGTCCTTTTGTCTCTAGATGAGTCTTTTCTATGAATTCTCTTACAGAGTGGTTAGCATGCTCCATTACAATTGTTTGATATTTATATAAAAGGTCAAAATCTTTACAAGAGTACTCAACGTGTTTTGGTTCTCGTGTGTGTGTATGTGTGTGTGTGTGACCACGTGAGCACACACACACACATATATCTTTACACTCATATTTACCTGTGTATTTACATGTGTTTGTGTGGAGTTTTATATGCTCATTAATCCTTACAACAACTTTAAGAAGAGTACAGAGAAGTTAAGTACCTTGCTCAAAGTCACACAGCTGGTTAATTTTTGAGACAGGACTCACATCCAAGAAAATCCTGTTCTAAATTCCACAGTATCTGCTGTGGAAGGAGAATACATTTGTCCTCATTGCCCCTGACCTTTCTTCTTATTCTTTCCTTCTCTCTCCTGTCTCTGTCTGTCTGTCTCTCTCTCATTTTTTATATTTTTGTTTTTTCTACCCCTCTCCATTTCTCTTCTCCTTTCACCCATTTTTCCTCTCTTTCTTCTTTCCTTCCTTCCTTCTATATTTCTTTATTTGTCTCAATTAAAACCTTGCTATGGCTTACAAACTGTAGCTACAGTTTATACTGACTCACATCATTGCAGACACACACACACACATTTAATCGGTGAAGCCAGCAGGCAAAGGTTGAAACGGCACAGGTTTGAACGAGGCAAGTGGTTCTCCTGGGTTGAGTATCTCTAAGGTTCTAGAGTTCCTCACTTCAGTGTCTTTTCCATTGCAGTGCACATCCAGACCAGAATGTATCATCCAAAGCAGAAGCTGTGCTGCCCGCTACCAAAGGATTGCTGCCCTCCATCCCAGCAATGCTGCACCCCACCCAAGTATTGCTGCCCCGCACCAAAGGATTGCTGTCCCCCACCTCAGCAGTACTGTCCCCCTCCGCGGCAATGCTGCCCCCCAGTAAAGTACTGTTTCCCCCCACCAAAACACTGCTAAACTCCACCTCAGCACAGCAAGCAGCCTTACCAACCTCCACCCAAGGCCAAGGAGCCCTCTGTCCCAACGTGCCCAGCCCCTCAGCAGTGCCAGAAGTCCAAGCAGAAGTAAACCCCAGGCATGGGCCAGAGGCCAAGCTCCCTGCAGAACAGAGAACATGAAGCCCACTCCCCTCTCTCAGCCAGCTAGCTGTCAGCACCGCTCACCCCCGGCTTCTGGAAGCAGCCACACTTGTGGAAAAGGCAACACCAAGATGGCAGCTTCCTGGATCAACATTTCTTATGAATTAGAAGCTGCAATTTCCGTTTAGAAAGGATCCGGTTCTAAACCTTCTAATCTTCGTTGCTGACTTGTATACTTCGCCCTTTTGGCTGCTTGGAAATATAAGCAGCATGCCCGACCACCCTTTCTTAGCACACTTGGTCTCTGCTCCAGTTTTTCAAACAATTAAACACAATTCCGCTGCCATGAATGTGTCGGTTTGATTATTTCGTCATCTTACAGTTGTTAACTCCTGCAGATTTTGTATCCTGCTGCCTAAATAAGAGCCCTAGGAGGGCTGGGCATGTGGGTGCAGGTTGAGCAGAAGGCATGGGGAGATGCCCTTCTGAGCTGAAGAACATTTTCCATGGTCCTGTCAGGGTGAGGAGGAGAGATGGGCACTTCAGCCACATGGAGACACATCCCCCCATACTTGCAAAATGAGAACAGCTTTTGGACCCATGGGAGATGATGCCCGTCTCGAAAACGGAGGCACAAAAAGAGTAAGGGAAACCCAGCCAGGAGCTAAATAGTAGAGCAGGGCAAATAAATGGAAATTCAGAGAATATCCTAAGGGCATGTGGGTCAAGATGAATTGATGACCGGGCCTCAAAAACTCTCCCACTGGTAAAAAGAAAAGACAAGATTTTGTTCAAGCTTCCAAAATGTGTAAGTAGGAGACAGTCTATGTACTAATCATACATCTATCACACACACATATCCTCTGTCAATATTTTTTAAAGGCATAGCACCCATTGATTCTCTAGCTTGGGGTTTCTCCTGGGCTATTTTTCTCTCACTGCCCTCTTACTTTCCATTCCCTAAATCCTTGCAGTATCAGGGTAACCTGAGTAACCAGTGGTAACCTCAGTCCCACAGGTAAACCAAACTTCTTCTTTCTATTACGTCCACT